GAATACCTGTTGCACATGAACTAACAAATTAGCAGCGAGAAACCAAGTTTGACAGGCAGGCTGAAACATCCAAGAAAATTGTTCTCCCCAGATGGAACCTCTCCTAAAAGGTATTTTTATTCACTCTGAGCCCCCAGGTTCATGAAAAGTAAACAGATCCATAAAAATACATAATAAATAATTTTACACGTGTCATGCTCATTTACATGTGAATTAACCCGATTTATGGCCATAAAGGCAGACTTTGTCAGTGCACAGAAGATGCAAACAAGTAGTAGTGGCAGAGGAGAACTTCCTACAGTTGAAGATTTGTCACATTTCTGCACCACTCAATATTAATACTTGCTGTGCCTCAAATGAGGTTAAAATGACTCTGACAACTCAGATCTGTGTGGCGATAGATAGATAGAGAGGGAGATACAAGAAGTTCTTACATTTTCCTTCTGCATTTGCATTTTCTTCCAGGTATAGATCTCACAGTGTCTGTTAACTGATTATTTCTTTTAAATAAGGGGGGAAAAAAAGAACAAAAAAAAAAAAATCCCTTTTCTCACCCGACTGCTTATTAGATTTGATATTGGGAAAAGCCCTTCGTTTACTCTGAACAAGTAGTTCTGTTTTCCACCGCTCTCTGTCGTGTTTAAAGTAAATAAGTTCTCGTCCCTGCAGCACTGCTGAACTCATTCACTCCCCAGAACAAAGCCATTGTGTAGGGGTCCACAAGAGCCCTTTTCTCTCCTTCCCCGAGCGGGATCTTCCCCGGCACCGCAGCGTGCTCCCCAGCTTTGTGAGCCATTCACCACCCTGCCTGTGCTAAAAGTGTGCATGCTTTGTTTCACAGAAGAAATGAAGGAAGATTATGACACTATGGGGCCTGAAGCCACAATTCAGACCACCGGAAACAATGGTACAGGTAAGGCCTTGCATGGAGCATCACTTTTCTTTGGGAACATGTAGAGCTAGCTGTGCATGACGAGTGAGAGCGACAAAACAATCTATTTCTTGTTTTCAGTTAAAAAATCGGAAAATACTGACATAATTCTCCTGGGTTTTAATTCCCCCCAACTTGATCACGAGAGTGCAGTGACCAATTCACGCAGTGAAGAGTCCTTGCTACCCCTCCTGTGTCCCACAGCATTTTAGTCCCAGCTCCTTGTAGCTGCATCCTTGGGAGATAGTAGTCCTCAGCAGAGTGAGGATATGTTTTCCCAGGGAGGGTGAACCTTGGATAGTTTAAAGTAGCTGGGCCAAGATACAGTGGCCTTTTAATGAGAGAGATTGTATGAAGAGCTTGATAATGAGGATGGGGTGCACCCTCCTTGGCAGCCCCAGATTTGGGTGGTGCTCAGAGTGAGCTGCTTCAGAGACTGGAAACATCTTTTCAGCAAGACACACATAAACCCCTTACATAGATCCATAGACACACACACTTTAAATGCATATTTATGAGATTATAATGTTTCTGGCTAATCGTTTGTTGGGGTTTTTCTCCCACTTTTAGCATCTCTTTCTTTCCACTCTTAGAAATCAATACATTTGGTGGCACAAGAAGTGTGACAGAGATATTTAGCAGGCATCACCTCTGAGCCATCTCTTTTTCTGTAGCACAGCAAACCAGCAAAAGGTTCCTGTTGCTATTTTCTAATCCAAATGAATTCAGGGATTTACCATGTTCTTTCCAAAGGCCCCACTCTATCCTCAGAACAGCTGAATGCTATACATCACCCAGTGTTTCTTCTGCATTTTGCCAGAATTTGAGATCTTGCAGATAGATTTACACAGCTAAAAGGAATAGTTTTCTAGTGTAAGTACATTTCTATCCATTCCATTATGAAATTTACTTCATAGGTAATACTCTCCACAAATATTACTGTAAAAGGTGGTACCAAAGTCTCACAAGGACTTTATTACTCACACTTTCCTGATGTTGGTAACACCCACATAAAACCCCAGTGCTCTTATTAAGCAACGCAAGAAATTTACTTTATCATTCTTGAGGGGGAAAATAATAGGAAAATAAAACCGTATCACTGCTTCCTTCATCCATTAGATTTATTATGCATGAAAGGAGGGTGGCACTGAGGCACAGTTCATCATTACGTATGTACTTAATGATGTTGCTGTGCAGAACTGGCTACATATGTATCTCAAAAGCTTATTTTATTTCCAAGAGACTGCAATAAAGTGGCGAACTGTGCTTAGCACTTGGAGAAACAGGATTTTAAAAGACATCTGATTCAGAAACAAGGTTTGATGGTTATCTGAATTACCATTACCAGAGCCTTTAAGGTCCCCTATCAGTCCGTGTGACTTCCTTTGCACATATTTTCCTTGCCATAACAGGCCTTGATTCTTTCATGCTTGCAATGTGGTCTGCTTGAAGGGGAAGACTTCATGTCCTCTTAGTCCTTCTCTTCCAGTATCTGATGTCCTTGTCTTCCAGCTCCTCGTCAGCCTCACAAAATCTCTCTGGGGCCCCTCTCATCGAGCCCCTCTGCCAGCCCTTAGTGGGGTCCATGGGGTGTCCTGCCTCCAGTGGAACCAGTTTTCCATGGAAGAAATAAGGGTTTCCCCTGCCCAGCTTGATACACTGCAAACTCACGGCTCAAGGAGTGCTTTGCATTTAGGTGGTCTGCATTTAAAATGCAAGAGCTTCTCTGTGTGTTGCTCCTATCAATTCCTTCCCCAAATGTCCTGTGCAAGTCCTAGGCTCCTCTTTGCTCTGGCTATGATGGAGGCTTGCTCAAATAACCATCACAAGTTGCTCTGACAGTGTTTAATTCAAATCTTTTGTCACTGAGGTGCTCAGAGCCTCTTTCAGTGGGGGCTGATGCCTTTTCAGCATGGGCAGAACGTTTCTTTAGTTGCTACAATCTCCACGTACTCTTAAGAGCAATGTCAGATTACTTAGGCATAATAAATACTCTCATAAATTAAATGCTTATGCCAATCTTTTCACCTTGAGAGGGAGATGCCAGGTGACTATGAGTACTTGTTGTTTCCTTTATTAGGAGTAAAAGTTCCCCTTCATGCCCAGTGAGGTGCCTCAACCATTACTTGACAAATAAAGGGAAGAAATCAGTCCCTGAGCTGTAGGATATACTTCCTGGATAGTCTGGGAAGTGTTCAAAATTTTCTTCTTCAGCCTCACTTTAGCCTTTGGGCCTGTATGGAGTGTTTGGCCTCAGTTTTTCACTGCGGTTATAGGGGATCTAATACTGTTGTTCAATAATGTAGCTGAGGTGAGGCTGAGACTCAACCCAATGAAAACACACATTCAACCAGAAAGTTAATGTAGGTGCATGCAATATTTGTGGTACACTTTTAGCATCAAATTCTCTGCAAAATATTATTAGTAGAAAAAGAAAATGAAAAGAAAAGGTCTCCATTATTAAATTATTATGCTATTGTCAGAGTGGCCACTTCCTAGTAGTACTTTAAGAAAAATCTTGTTATCCCTACATTAATCAGCTGCATTTTTATAATGAGCCATGGAGGCTTCATGGTGAAAAAGCAGAAGTGACCATTAGAGTGAAAATTTAGGATTTTGGTACTGCTAAACCAATTTGTAAATATTTCTGAGGATTTCTGCAATAGGAACTTGACGAAGTGATGTTTAGCAGAAGAACTTTTTAAAAGGTGAATGAAGAAATTCTTATGGTTTATTTTATTCTACCTTTTATGGTTATTGCAACTGGGATGTTTGCAGAGAATAGATTAACAAAATCCCTGCAAACAAACAGATAAATTTTCCTGGTTTTGATTAGTAACATCTGACAAAATTCAAGTAAAGATCTCTTAACATAATTTAAAGAAGGGAAAGAAAAACTTTCAGGGGGAGGAAAACAGAACCAAAACTTGGCAGGTTGGAGGACAGGCCGTTTTCAGGCTGTAATCTGTGTGTACCAATGGGGGCCTCTCACTTCCTGGCTAATGAAGGCTGTGGTTTTATTAGCTTTGTTTGCGATTAAGGGCAGCTATCACCATCTAGCAGGACGAGTTCCCACACAAAATAACTGGTCTCCCAAGCTCCTTGGACCTCTCTCCCACTTTATCTTGAAAGGTCCTAAATGCCTCCAAAGATAGCTTTCCTTAATGTGTTTTATTTTTATGTGACACAGCCACATCAGCTTTTGGAGCTGAAAATATTTCTGCTCTCCAGGCTCCAATAATTAATTTAAAAAAGACTTATTTGGTGAGGTCACCCACCATAGATCTCACGGAAATTCTTGCCTCACAGGAGGGGATGTGCAGTGTGTGTGCAGTGTCAGCCCACAAGGAGTCTGGGAACATGGCTTTGTACGGGGAAAATAAATCAGGGCATGGAGGGGGGAAGCAAGTCTTCCACCCAGAAGCCGAGAGACCTAATGGTTGTCAGATGGGTCTTTTTAGTACCTCTGGATGAGCTTCCAGCCGTGTCTGAATTGTCAGTAATGCTGCTGGTGAGAAACCAACCCCACATGGACACCCTTGACTCTTTGTGTTAATCTGCAGCTTTGCAGCACTGGTTGTATTGTTTCAGTGAAGGGTCTATCAGCTTTTCCACCAAATCCCCTTGTTTTTAGGGGTTTATAATGTAGACGTAAACATTTGCTTTAGCTCCTGGATTGCATGTACGGACATAGAAGCTAAATAATCCTGAGAATTAGGAAGCCAAGGCTGGTAATATCGCAGCAGTCCTCCACAGCCTGTTGGATCAGCCTCCAGACAGACCTGGGGGCATGAAGGAAGAACCTCATTTTGGTTTGAGGTGGGGATGGAAGCTCCTAATGTTAACTCAGACCTTGCTAGGTGGCTTGAATCCTAATCCTATAAAGGCAGTTGCAAACTCCAAGTATCCCTAGTTTACCTGGGGAGAAAAAAGAGACACATAGAGCCATCCCATTTCTCCTCTCTGGAGAAAAAATCCATCTTCTTGCTTCACTTATTGGCTCGTGGCCTAGGTTTGGCAAAATTAAACTTGCTTTCCTTGGATCTATTGCTAAGAGAGGAGAAGGAGTGGAGCTTGGGTAGTGCTAAGCCAGAGGGTAGATGGTCTTGTAACACCTGGAAGATCTAGGCATAACAGGGGAATGATAAGTTAGATTTACAGCATAAAAAGTAAAGACTCAGCTCTTTTTTTTTCTGATAAAAACAACAACTCCTATACCTGCTGTGATGCCCTTGTGCGTAAGGTGTGCTCAGTAAACCACCATTTTGTTGTATTGTTCTCCCAGAACAACATGTAGGTAAAGTACTCTGTCTTCTCCACACTCACACTCCCCTTCTCTAGAAGCTGCTTAATTTTGGTGTTGAAAGAGAATTGTTTCTCACGCTAATAACAAATGTTAACTGGAGCTGCAGTAGGACCAAGAGGAACTCTGTGGTGGTGTAGCCATTCCCTACAAAACCACTGTGATAGGAACAGAAGTTTCCTTCCAAAACCAGGGTCCCATGCCCTGTGCCATTTGGTCACTGTCACTGATATACTGCAGAACGGTTGAGAAGCTGCTCAGCTGGTATGAAAAATAGGGCATATTTGTCTCAGCCAGAGGATTTGATTTTATCGGCTAAAGGGATGAGGTTTACAGAGACGGATATCTCCTTTTATCGATGACGCCGAGATCAGAGCTTCAAATCAGGCACTGCAGGCTCCCAGTTGTGCCCCAGTCAGAGGTCATGGCTCATTTTCACCGCCAGCATCACTGCCTTGCATTTTCATAGGAAACTGAGGCAAAGCCTTCACTCATTTCTAAACACCAAGGAGCTGGTTAGTCTCTCATTTCCAGTGGTTGAAACCATAAACCCCTTGATTTCCACGTGATTACTCCATGTTGCTCCCTGGCATCACTAACAGCAGAATTATGCTGTTTAGTATTTTACTTTTACATGAATAGTCCAGAACAGTCCATGTTATTTCCTCATTTTTTAATTTCACCTCAGCAGAAATACATTAAAAATTTAATAAATCATAGGTTGTTCTTTTCATTTATGGTCAGTTAAAAACTAGTATATTTAGTTCCCTGCCACCAACTGTGTCTCACAAGACTTGTTAAATAAACAAAGTAACACAATTTAGAGGAAGAAAATCATAATCTCCTTTTTTCTTTTTCTTTTCTAGTATAATTATACTATTACTTGTCTGTGGCATCCCAGAGTTTTAAGGTCTTTCCTGTAAGCACTGTTCATACTTGGAGAAGAAAGGCACATTTTTAGTAACAGGATGCTTTGTGGCTGAGCATGTATTATGTTTCATGGACATTGCATGGATAATAAAAAATTGAGGTTACATTTAAAGAAAAGAAAGAAAACTCTTGTATGGACTGTCAAAGTGGTTTTGGGCTTGGTGACCCTCTAATGGTCTAAACCATGTGGCTCTATTGCAGAAATCATGAAACAATAAGTTTTTAAAACAACCCATTCTCTCATTATAAGTTAGTTTTTCAGGGAGGAAAGAAAAACCAGGAAGATGTGAGCAACTTTTTTCTTGTGCCTGACAAAGAGCAACCTGAGGAAAGGCCTGTCTCAGAAAAATTTGGTCTTTTACTACCTGCCATTGTCATCTCCCACACAGGGACTGTCTCAGGGTCTGCGGGATCCAGGGGCAGCTGAGCTCAGTCCTGTAGGTCGAGCTGTGCTCATGCCAAAAGCTGTGGGACCCCCAGGAGCCCCGTGAAGGTTGTTCAGGTTCCAGCAATGAAAGATTACCTGCATTACCCAAGCCTCATAAACTTCTCCTGCTGCCCTGTAGAGCCCCGTGTTCTTGTTAATTTAACTGCCTGCCTTTACTTCCATCCACACTGGTGGAAAGCCCACATTAATTTTATTGGGAGCTGGAGCAAGGCTGATGAGAGCAAGGATCCAGCTGCAGCCCCAGCCTTGTAGCTCCAGTATATCTGCTCAACCTCTAACACTGCTGGCCAGCCCAGGCTCTCTGGGACGATGCACTCAACCACCCTTTCTTTTCCCCCTCTCTTATTTTAGTGAAGAACGCAAATTGCACGTCGGACTTTGAGGAATATTTTGCCAAAAGGAAACTGGAGGAAGGAGATGGGCATGCAGTCAGCATAGCAGAGTACCTGCAGCGCAGCGACACAGCCATTATTTACCCTGAAGCCCCTGAGGAACTGTCTCGCCTTGGCACTCCAGAGGCCAATGGGCAAGAAGAAAATGGTGAGGCTGTAATTCATTTTTAGCCAGTATCCTGACCTCGTGCAGCTGTTGCAATTATAAATGCACTACATGCCTGGGTGTTTACCTTAAAAATTGAAGAACAGCTGCAGCGGCATGGAATTTCATGAGCAAAGATTGGGGCTGTAATTTCAGTGTATTGTGATTTTTTAGTCAGCACATTTGTATTATTTGGTGGGTGAACTGAAGAGCTGAATTTAAGGAGGAGAAAGGCTGCTGCTCTACTTGGGAGTTTGGGAAGTTTTAATAGAGTTTTAATGCAACAAAAGACAGAGTAGCCAGCCTATTGCTCTCCAATGCCTTGATGAATAATTGGAGAAGAGTCAGTAGGAAGGATTCGGTCAATGGCATAAGTAACATAATGAGCTGGGGCTGGAATGCAAATTGCCAATTGATCAGGAAAAGTATTTCTTAGTTTTCAAGCCAGCCAGGTCTGCGGGAGGAGTGATGCCCATAATTAATTTCCCGGCGGGGTCCAGAGCGGGCCCTGCGAGTCTGCCGTGGGCGTGCGCGGGTGCCGGTGCCTCCCGCCGCCGGTTGGAAGCGCCGTCCCTCCCTCCCGGGCAGCAGATTGCGGCGATTCCTCTCATACCATCCCGGGCAATCAGCCCATGAGCTGCCATTGATTTGCTGACCTTTTGGCCTGCCTCTCTCTTCCCCCCCCTCCCATCCCGGGGTGCAGACCTGCCACCTGGAACTCCAGATGCCTTCGCCCAACTGCTGACCTGCCCCTACTGCGACCGGGGCTACAAGCGCCTGACGTCCCTCAAGGAGCACATCAAGTACCGCCACGAGAAGAACGAGGAGAACTTCTCGTGCCCTCTCTGTAACTACACGTTTGCCTACCGCACCCAGCTCGAGCGGCATATGGTGACACACAAGCCAGGGACAGATCAGGTGGGGGGCTGGTTTTAAGTGATTTCTTTCTGTAATAACCCCTTAGAGAAACGATATTGCTTTGATTGGCAATCATTATTAATTTTTCATGGCATTTTGAAGATGCAGATCTTTTAATGGTAATAGCTTTAATTGAGGTCTAAATGATTTTTTGATGGTCTCTTCTAATATGATTTAATAGTCTTATGTTCACGATCGAATGAGTGTGTTAATTTCTAATTTAGAAATTTTATTTGCACTTTAACTTGACTTTAGTTTCGTTTTTATGTTCCTCAAAAAGTGAATGAAACTGTAGCATTTTAATTATACATTATTAAACATCTCAGCAATTTTAATTCCATTTTTCACCTAGTTTTACTTTGCAGTGTTGCAAATAGGAGCTCCAAGACATACTAAAAGATCTGCTAATATTTTTTCATTACTTTTTGAGTAACCTTTTCAATCACATGAAATTATGCGTATTTTGTATAATCGTTTGTTAGACATAATTACACATTTTGAGAAGAACTCTTCCGACAGTACATATAGGCTATCATTTGTGATTGTGCCACTAGAATTGGGCATTGCTCTCATATGTATAGCCCGGCAGCGTATCTGCAATAAATCAAAGCCGTTTTTTCCTCGATGGGGTACATGTAATATTATATCAGTGCCACATTTAAGGAAATGCTGGTGTCTCAAACAGGTGACTGAGCTTCCCTAGTGCTCCTAGATGGGCTGGTGATAGACCTACGCCACAAATTCTTTACACACTGGCAGAAAAACTGCTCCTAGCTGGAGAATTACTTCTAAAAACCCATCTTAATGGGTTGTAATGGAAACACAAATGGTGTGGTTAAAAGTTGAATAAATAGATGTGTGCATTGTGTCAAATTATAAAGGCTTTATGCTGTATTTATTTTTTTTTAAAAAACCTGAAAATCACAATCTGTTGGATTTCTCTTGGTAGGTTTTTCTCAGCAGAAGGTAAATTCAGTTAGGCAAACACATATCTTCCTAATCACGCGATTTTTGCAATTAGCATTTTTAAGAGAACAGTATCTTTTGCTTGATCTTAAATCAATATAAATGACTCCAGAGCGCTTTCTCCTTTCTTTCCTTCCCATGGCTTTTCCAGTAGACAAACACATTTTCCCATGTATATTTTTCCTAACCTGATCCACTGTAAGGTTCTTCCTTTTGCCTCGTATCATTAAAAACACCAGGGGAGGGAACAAAACCCGCCTGGATATTTATCCAACGTAACTGCCTGAAATTTCACATGTGAGAGCGCGCTGGTACTGGCGCATTATGAATGGTAGCTTTGGTGTTGAAAAGTCCCCTCATTTGCTCATGGCATTTACAATTAGTAAATTAAAATGATTGTATCATATTAACAGTGGCACAACTAAAGTTTATAGTAGTCCTCGGAGGGCGATGGGGGGAGACAAAACAGCTGTTGCTGTTTGTTTATGCAACTCAGCAACATATGAGCGCGGGTCCCTCAATGGCGCGCGGCGGGCTGGGCTCTGCTTGATCTTTGAAGGTTGCTGCTGTTTGAACAAACCTCCCTGTGTCCCATGTAACACCATCTGTCTCGCCAGGAATGTGGGAAGAGGCAGCACACCCTCGCAGTTGTCATACCGTTTCGGCGCTGCCTTTTTTTTTTTTTTTTCCCTTCCTTTTTTTTCCTCCCCTTTTCCCCCCTCCCTGCTCCTGCAAAAGGCTTTTGTGTCCTGGTTGCCTGCAAAAGGCTGACCTCCTACCTTGAGCATCCAGAGTGGCTACATGATTATCAAGATAATAATTATTTTTTAATTAATTTTGTTTTTCTCTCCAAATTCAAAGTCATGGGGCTTTCCTTGCTTGTTGCAAAAAGGTCAGCTTCCTTTGATTATATCTTTACACCCCTTTTAACTTTCAACTTTCCCTTGCCCCTCAGAAGAACACCAGGGAAAAACATGGCACGAAAGGTAGCTCAAGTCTTTCCTGCTGCTCTGTGATTTTAAAAAACATTTCCAGCAGCAGCTTATGCTGAAGATGCAGTCTCTCCTGCTTGATAATGAATTAAATCTTACACGAAATGCCACTAACGACAGTGTTTCTCTCTTTCCTCCACATGCAGTAAACAGAATTTTTAAACAAGCTGAGTCCCACATGTTCAGAATCTGCTAGGAATATTAAGAGCCACAAATCTTCTTATAAAACTGTTTCTCTCATTGTAAGTTACCTTAAAGCAACACATTTCTGATGAGAGACTTAGGAAATAATTCTAAAGCAAATATTGAAGGCTCATGTGAAAGTACTTTCTCATTTGTTTCGGTTTACTGCCAACATTTTGATTTTTATTGCAACGCTGATGAGACAAATAAATGTACATGCAGACCTTTTGGTCCGCTTGACGAATTCAGAGTCACATTAATTTAATTTTTGTTTTTTGAGCTTGAAATTCATGGTTTCTCTTGCATAAAATTTATGTTGGTATCTCTTTTGTTTTCTTCTTTTCCTCCCAGCACCAAATGCTGACCCAAGGAGCAGGCAATCGTAAGTTCAAATGCACTGAGTGTGGCAAGGCCTTCAAATATAAACACCATCTGAAGGAACACCTGCGAATTCACAGTGGTGAGTAGCGGAGGTGCTGGTGTGCTCATTTGCATTTTGTTTAATTAGCTGAGTTTTAAAGACTGCTTAAAATTTACACAGTTCTGCTTCTGGCTTCTTGGAGCTACCAAGGTATTTCATAAGTGATATCTGAGTCATCCTCATTTATCATGCTGTTAATACCACGGTCTTGCTAAAAGATTTGGAAATAGTAAAGCTTCCTGCAAATAATATAGATTGTTTGGCAGTTTGAGTTCAGAAGCATTCATTCATTGCTGTGCAGCAGGAGCCTGAAGAGTTCATTATATTTTCCAAAATAAAAAGTCCCCCTGAGTGAAATACAACTGATATTCTCAGATAACAAGAAACTGCCAAGCCTCTCAGATTGAATGACTTGAGCATTTTGGCTCTCTTACTTGATGCAGAATTCAGCACAGAAAATGTCACCAGGCTCAGCTCAGGCACAAGCTGATGTGGAGGTTCTAACATCAGGACTCGCTTTCTCATACAGGTCCTCATATCCAGTGAAAATTCCATTCTAGGGGAGAAAAAAATAAAAAATAAACAAATCAAATTTGAACAGTCTTGATTTGATTTGACTCTCTTCCTTACAGAGTGCTTACCTGTGATTTGCCCTGGTCAGTCTGGAGCCAATCTCACACTTTGATGGCTTTTGCCACTTGGAGACTCTGGGTCCAAACTGACCTGTAGAAAGAGGAGGGTAAAGCAGTGGTGGCATGTGTCCATGTTCAGAGAATTAATATTTCCTTCACTATTAATCACTGGATTAGGTGATCAGTTAGATACCAAATGCAATATCTTGCAACTATAGCAGCAAGAATGATAATTAACATTTGGTTTTAATTATCATTTTAGGTGAAAAACCATATGAGTGTCCAAACTGCAAGAAACGTTTCTCCCATTCTGGCTCCTACAGTTCGCACATCAGCAGCAAGAAGTGTATTGGTTTAATCTCTGTAAATGGCAGAATGAGAAACAATATCAAGACGGGTTCTTCTCCTAATTCTGTATCTTCCTCTCCTACTAATTCAGCCATCACACAGCTGAGAAACAAGCTGGAGAATGGCAAACCACTTAGTATGTCTGAGCAAACAGGCCTACTGAAAATTAAAACAGAACCACTAGATTTCAATGAGTACAAGGTTCTTATGGCCTCACATGGGTTTAGTGCAACTAGTCCTTTTATGAATGGTGGACTTGGAGCAACCAGCCCCTTAGGAGTTCACGCGTCTGCTCAAAGTCCAATGCAGCACTTAGGTGTAGGGATGGAAGCACCGTTGCTCGGGTTTCCTGCAGTAGGCAGCAATTTAAGCGAGGTGCAGAAGGTCCTACAGATTGTGGACAACACGGTTTCCAGGCAGAAAATGGACTGCAAGGCTGAAGAGATCTCCAAGTTGAAGGTTTACCATATGAAGGATTCATGCTCTCAAGCCGAGGAACAAGGAGTTACCTCCCCCAATATTCCCCCCGTGGGTCTTCCAGTAGTAAGTCATAATGGTGCCACTAAAAGTATTATTGACTATACATTAGAGAAAGTCAATGAAGCCAAAGCTTGCCTCCAGAGCTTGACCACAGACTCAAGGAGGCAGCTCAATAACATTAAAAAAGAGAAACTGCGAACCCTAATAGACCTGGTAACTGAAGACAAGATGATAGAGAACCACAACGTATCCACACCATTTTCATGCCAGTTCTGTAAAGAAAGCTTTCCTGGTCCCATTCCGTTGCATCAGCATGAGCGTTACCTGTGTAAAATGAACGAAGAAATCAAGGCAGTCCTTCAGCCTCATGAGAACATGGTTCCCAACAAACCTGGAGTGTTTGATAAGCAAGCCCTCTTGCTGTCATCAGTACTTTCTGAGAAAGGAATGACTAGCCCCATCAACCCATACAAGGACCACATGTCTGTACTTAAAGCATATTATGCTATGAACATGGAGCCCAACTCTGATGAACTACTGAAAATTTCCATTGCTGTTGGCCTTCCTCAGGAATTTGTGAAGGAATGGTTTGAACAAAGAAAAGTCTACCAGTATTCAAGTTCCAGGTCACCATCACTGGAAAGGGCCAGTGCCAAGGTGGCGCTGGCTGCCACCAACAACACTCCCACTAAAGACTCTTTGTCAGCCAGATCTCCAATAAAGCCTGTGGACTCTATAACTTCACCATCTATAGCTGAACTCCATAACAGTGTTACTAATTGTGATACTCCTCTCAGGCTAACAAAACCTCCTCATTTTACCAATATTAAGCCAGTTGATAAATTGGACCACTCTAGGAGCAATACTCCTTCTCCTTTAAATCTTTCTTCCACATCTTCTAAAAACTCCCACAGTAGTTCTTACACTCCAAACAGTTTCTCTTCTGAGGAGCTTCAGGCTGAGCCATTGGACTTGTCTTTACCAAAACAAATGAAGGAACCCAAAAGTATTATAGCCACAAAGAACAAAACAAAATCTAATAGTGTAAGTTTAGAACACAACAGTGTTTCTTCATCATCTGAAAACTCAGATGAGCCACTGAACTTGACTTTTATCAAGAAGGAGTTTTCTAATTCAAATAATCTGGATAAAAGCACTAACCCAGTATTTGGTATGAACCCATTTAGTGCCAAACCTTTATACACAACACTTCCACCACAGAGCGCATTTCCCCCGGCCACTTTTATGCCACCAGTCCAGACCAGTATTCCTGGGCTGCGACCATACCCAGGACTAGATCAGATGAGCTTCCTACCACATATGGCCTATACCTACCCAACTGGAGCAGCTACTTTTGCCGATATGCAGCAAAGGAGAAAGTACCAGCGGAAACAAGGATTTCAGGTAAATGGTTTCAACTGTTTCCTGTTTTGAAAGGCTAGAATTTAGTATTTTGTGATGTGTCCTCTTAGAGAAAAAAAAAAAGCCCAAAGCTATAATCGACATTTCCAACAAAATTAACAGAGTTTATTTAAGTCTGAACTTGGAAAGATGCGGTGGAGTAGGAAAATAAACTGCAGTTAACTTAAGAGTACCTCTACTTGGGTTCACGAGCAGTACTAATTACTTTTAACAGGCTTAATGATCTTTGTTCTGTTAAGAGTTCTAATTAGATTTGTATATCAATATAATAACAACAACAACAACAACAACAATAATAATAATAATAATAATAATAATAATAATAATAATAATAATAATGTCCATTAAAAGTTGTATCCTAGAGGAAAAAAAGGATGAAACTTTGTAGAGAAATTTGTCTCTTCAGGGCATAACTACATTTCACCACAGAGAAAAAAGCAGTGTGAGATCCCTTTGGAGTCACCTCCATACTCGGACACAAAGTTGTTGTATCCCTCTAAGCAGATGTCCATAGACAGAGCCTCATAGACACTGTAATCCCTTGAAAGAGATTCTTTCTCTGTATTTTTGGGGGATTGTTCACCCACTATTCATGGGAAAGTTGTCCTCTCTTCTCACAAATGTCTGGGGGATGAGTTGACCCAAAGCCCCTTCCTTTGGGACACCTACTGGTCTTCCAGATTCTTAGTCCTCTAATCCTGCCAGTCATCTGGAACAGCTTTAAAAAAACCCCAGAGATTAAATGAAATTATTTGGAGAGGTAGCAGCCAGGGCCCTTAATCACAGACAAAGTATTTCCCTGGACATGTAATCTGGGTCAGCACTTCTTCGTGCCCAGGTACAACCCATAATTCTTCCTTCAGGTCATCCCAGAGTCAACACAAATGTAGTAAAGTATTTTGTCCCCTGCATACCTGCAGTGAAGAGCAGCTCCACAGAAGTCTTGTACTTTTATAGCCTTTTGCTGGGTGCATTCAGATATAATGTACAGAGTTTAGTTAAATGAGATTAACTGATTATAGATTAATAATTTTTTCTTACATTTGCGCCTGTTCCCCCATGTCCTATTACCGTCCATTAGTAATTTTACTGACTAGTAAATGTTTTATAGTTTCAAATGTGAAAATCAGGTATGGTTTTACATTACAGACTGTAATCCCTCTTTGCACAATAGGAGCATAAATAGCACTGCACCTCCATAACAGCTGTTCCACTATTCCAATTTACAGTACATCTGCCCTCTTTGTAAATGTATTTAAGCCTATTTAATCTTCTCTAATATTAATTAGTGCAAACCTAGTCTAAGAAAACTGAACTGTGTGATAGCAAATGGAAATGTATGTTATCATGCAAGTTTGCACTCTCTTTGGATCGAGACAAAATAAATATCAAGAAATTTAATAATTTACTGATCCACATTCATTATTGCTTAATGCTGAAGGCTGTTTTAACATAGATAGAACATTGATAAAAAGTGTTATTAATATTCCCTATTTCAAATTACAAAATTAAATATAAAAATATAGCTTGAGGCCTTTAGTCGGGAGACATACATTTAAATGGATTGCATAATAATAACATTTGTACCTAAATATAAAATTCAATTAAAACCTTTCTACAGATACAGAATGCACCCAAGTTTTGGAATTTTGAAAGGAATGATCCCTTAGCTGTTGCTTACATTTACCTCTCTAAAATAATACAATACCTTTTGCTGGCCATGAAGAGCCTCCCCTTCACACTTTCTTGGAAATATTTAGTACTGATATGGTAAATACTGTTGTTTTGTGCAAACCACATTACTGCAGAGTGCTCAAAGACAGAAAGTTGGTTTGAGGCATAGAAGTAGAAGGCTCCTCTTTATTTCCATACATTCCATCAGCTGTAGTTTTATTATTCATATTCCTAAGCTAAGAGGAACCACCGAGGCATGATTGTAACTTCCCTGGGGTGGTTGGTGGGAAGGATGGGTGGTGGGAGCAGCTTTTGCTGACGAGTGGTTCCCTCACAGGGAGAATTGCTTGATGGAACCCCAGACTACATGTCCGGCCTCGACGACATGACGGACTCCGACTCCTGTCTGTCCCGAAAGAAGATCAAGAAGACAGAAAGTGGCATGTACGCGTGTGACTTATGTGACAAGACATTCCAGAAGAGCAGTTCCCTGCTGCGACACAAATACGAGCACACAGGTAGGGCAGCCGCGCACGCCGAGGGCAGGGTTGAGGGTCGTGCTTTGTTCTTCACAGTCTTTCATGGGTACACTTGTGCAGGTGCTGAGGCTTTCAAAAAATTCTTTTGCTCTGTTCTGAGTTATTTTTTTTTAATTTTTCTTGATGGTTATTGAGTGGTTAAGGACAGTTGGGTGTGATGGGGTAAATGTTGGTAGGTGCTGTGGCAATCATCATCTCCCAGGCCAAGCCCTCTGGAAATGAGACAGACTCTAGCACTCAGAAACAATTGCAACTTGGTCAACACAAAGTGTGGCATGGGAAGGAAGAGTGACAGTGTATTTCTTGTTCCTTAGACACTATCTGACCCTGCTCCATTTAATCCAATAGGAAAAGGGCCACCGACATTATCAGCTCTGGCCAAGTTATCTGAAAGTCAACAGCTCAGGGGGTTTCCTCTCGCAGTGATTTTGCACACCAGCAGCACAAGCAGGTTGCAGTTCACTTTTTCACTTCCCAGTTAATGCTCAGGGAAGGTTCCTTTCTTTCCTGAGTAGGAAGTGATTTTTGTCTAGTTCAAGGAAGCTTGCCAAAGCTCACCGCGCACTGTCAGCTTAAAAAATGCTTTGGTTTGAAAAAGACCTTCTATCACACCTATGCTGGCCGTGGTTCCCCTTACAAACAGTGCTCCCTTCCCCACTGTCAGCCAGGACAGAGCTCTCTGAGGGCCACACATTGGCTCAGCATGTTTCAGTTAGGGGAAAATGGGACCGGAGCTTCCCAAATAATAGAGATATCAAGTTATGTTGGACAAAGGGAATGTGAATTATCATCTGAATTATTGTGCAGCAGGACATAAACCAAACTCCGACTTCCTAGAGTTAGAAAAAGTTTACTCAGGAGGAAACTTGCCTTAACTTTGAAAGCTGAGTCCCGCTTCAGGAAATGAAGCAAGTCACATCATCCTTCAATCTCACCATGTGAGGGTAAAAACCTTATACCTCTATATTAATACATCTTCCAGGCCCCACATAACCCTTTGGCTTTTCACAGATGAAAAATTTACAATTCAGAAGTGGATGGTGCCTTTAAAACAAAATCCTTTACTTTGTTATTTTTCCTTCTTCTACTTTTCTTCCAAATTTTAAGCTAATCCCACAACGGAAAATACAAAAGGAAGTTAAAATACACGTGGGATTAGGAAAGAAAATTGAAAGCAACATTTTGGACTAGATCAGCCAGTTCATTGGCAGAATGTGCTTCCCACTACATTATTCAGATCAAATTGTTTATTCAGTAGAAGAAGCTTTGAAGGCTTTACGTCCCTGCACCTTTCCTCTCCTGAATGATTTTATTACAGCCATCTGCAAACATTATGGTTTACTACACTACTACTGTAAAGCTCTTATGTTAGAACTGGCCTTCATATATATCGGGATCTGGACATATGGTTGAATCCCATAAAGTTGGTAGTCCATAAGGTCGACAGACATATGGTTGAAAGGCTGAAAATTTGACAAGCTGAAATGTGTGCAATCACCTTGATTTGCAAAATAAACTGCATTTGTAATAGCAAAAATATGTTGTGGTCTTGAAGTAGCATGGGAACCCACTGCCTAGAAAAATGCCACACAGCTGCAAAGCGGGGACTCTTCTCCTGCTTCTTAGCTCTGTCCCTTTTGGCTTCTCAACTTCACGTCCATCAATTTTATGGGACTCAGCCTTATGATCCAGAACATGTATAGGGTGTCAGATTTAATACACTAGAACTACAGCACATCATCAGGCTGGAGCCTGGCATTCAGGGACAGGAAGGATGGTCTTGTGGCAGAGGCACAGGCACTGAGAGCATTGCACTCTCCCCTGCCTCACCACAGACTTCCTCAGTGAATTGCAGCAAATTGCTTCAGCTTTCTCTCACCTTCGCCCATCTTTGAAACATGGGGAAATGATACCAGCCCGCCTCTCTGGGGTGTTGTAAATATTAATTCGTGCTATCCTGTGATGGAGCTCACTGGATAAAGAGGGAAGTACTATTATCAGGGATGTGTTTGCTTTTATGGAGCCTCAGTGCATCACGCACTTTTTTTTTTTTGTGTTTGAGTGTGTTTGAGTGGGTGGGAGCTCTGAAGGGCTTGGCTGGGCCAGCCCCAATACCTCATGCACAGCCTTCAGGAGGCACTCTGGCTGATGGCTCAGGTGCCTCTTAGGTGAATTTCAAATTAATTTGATAGTTTCAGGCAGAGCTTGTAATTGCATTAATAACATAGGCGTGAAACTGCAGTCCATGCTCGGTGGAAGGAACCCAATTGAAAGTAACACCCTCTTCTGCCTTTGGGGTCATTGTAAGAGCAGGCCCAGGTTTTTCAACCAACTTTTTGAAACCTAAAAATGAGAAAAAAAAGCCCTTTTTTCTGAGGGTGTTGCTGTTTTCTGAGGAGCTGATCATGACCTGGTGTAGCTTCATTAAAAACATGTTTTAGGAGGAACTGGAATGCTCCCTGTCTTTCCTGGAGAAGCACAAAATAATGGATGTTGTTTATATCAATCTCCTTTTTTCTGTGTAAAAAGAATATATGTGTTTTATTTGAACTTTGGGGCAATCAGATTTTTATTTGTCACCCCTTCTCAGGTCTGTTTATCTATTGCAGCCAGTGATAGAACAAGAGTTAAAAGAGTCAGACAGAGGCCCCTAAAAATTTATCACAGAGAAATCATTTGAAGCACAACATTGACAGGTAAAACTACATAAGCTGTCTGAATCATTGTTTACTGATAATCAAGTGTTATAAAGGAGAAAACGGGAATGTTTAGGTGTTGCTGTGGAGCTGAGTTTCTGTGCTAGGGCAAGAAGAATAGGATTTGGGCAGTTCTTTTTGTTAACCCAAGAACTTTTGGTAGGACCATGCAGCCAGCTGTAGGACAAAGAGCTCTGTGATTACCTCTGTACACCATGCCTGCCACAGCTGGAACACAGTAGAAAAAGGGCCACAAATTTCACAATCCCTAGTTTTTAATTTGTGCAGTATTGGTGGTATTCTGTAATAGCTTTCAGCTTCATGGGGAGAAGGACAATTTCTTGTGTTACTGCAATAAGTGAATTGCATTTGTTCTGGCTCATCTGAAATTTCGTGTAGAGGCCACTGTTTGTTGCAGAACCAAATTCTGACAATTTAACTTTGGGATGCCATTGAATTTAGAGAGAAGTTATGTGTCCTTCTTAGAGTCTGAGCTTCACAAGGTCCTGTTTCCTTAAAGCCAGAGGATGCAGCACTGTAATTAGGGTGCAGAGCATGGCAGGCAGCACAGGCATTCAGTGCTCACATGATTTTCCTGTGGAATCTTACAGACTCATCCTAATTTGGACAGGCTGAAATTAGTTGAGCCAATATGGGATGTGTCTAATCTCAGATTTTTCCAAGCTGCTTAGCACAAGGTTCAAGACACTTTCCTTATGAAAGGTGAAGAAGGTGGTTGCCTTCACGCCAAAGCATCGGTGCTTTGGCGAGAAAAAATTCTTGGTGCTGCTGATAAGGAGGGGAAACCAGGAGTGAGTGAGTGAGCAGGAGAGCAAACAGAAAAATGGAGCATCTAGAAATACAGAAATATCCTGGCTCCTGGTCCAGCCATGGAGGAGTAAGGTGAAGGTTAATGTTTGTTCTGCCCTCGTCAACGCCCGTGTCTGCCACACACCAGCTTTGTTGTAGCTTCACAGGGGAACTCTCAGCGTGCCTGCTCCGCAACAAAAGCTGGAAACAGTTTTTCAGAATCCTACCTAGAAATTTAAAATCCTTTCATTGTTGTTCTATATTACATCATATTCTATTTTATTACTTGTGTGGGCTGTCGAGGGCCTCATAGCTGTGCTAGGGCTTTCATCCTTTCCTTTTCCACTGTATATTTTATTAAGACCTCTTTTTTATTTTTGTAGCTTTCATGCTGATGCAAGCACTAGTTTTATTTCCAGATTGATTCTGTAAACTAAATATTGTTCTTGAGCCTGGTAGCAAATCAGCTCTCTCTGGCTAGTATTTTGAATTCCCAGCTTGGGAGTTTTCTTTATTTAGAGCTTGATTCATAAAAAATTTACATGCTATTTAAAGGTTATTTTTTCTTGCTTTACTCTGATGCAAGTTTAGAATTCCCCATTTTACACTCAAATAAAGGAAAAAAAAAAAGGATATTCTATGTTTGTGTCTGCAGACAAGGTCTACTATTGAAAAAGGAACAGGTGCAGCTTGGGCAATTATATATAAATTGCATTTATCTTGCACCTTTGACCGCTTTGCTATGCTCTGGCCACTAATCCATCTCCACTGGGACTACATCTAACATCCAAACCCCTGAGCAGCTTCAAAAGAACTGCCTTAAAAAAAATAAAAAACAAACTGTCACAATAATGTTTCCTTCTTTCCTCCAAATAGTGGGATTTCTGTTTGGCCCCCTCCCACGGAAAAGAGACCCACTTGCCTTAGGCAAAAGATGGGTGATATTTAGTCTGGGACCAGTGACAGCTTGTGATCTGATGTCTTGTGACTTTTATACCACTGCAAATGGGAAATGCACAGCTTTTCAGTCAAAGACTTTTAGCCCAGGAAGACTGAGAGATACTTACTTACTTACTTACAGAGATTTTTGTTGTTGTCTTGTTTTAACAGAAATGCAATTTTAGAGACATTGCAAACAGATTAGTTATAACTTCCCCTCTGTAGATTGAGCGTGGGCTCCCACAGGAATCTGTGTTTTGCAACAAAGCAAAAAAGGCCCAAACATTTCCTCTAGATATTTGATAGAGATTTATCATTTAATTTCATTGCAAAATGTGGCATCTGCATCACTTATCCATCTGATGAAACACAAGTGTTTCATGAGCCCTTCTGTGAGCTTCCCTGGGTCCATCTCTCCTAGCTCCATCCCCCATGGATGACACAGGGGATCTTGGATGGGATTAGATACAACCTGTGGGGTGGGATATCAAATCTGCTTCCTTTTGACTTATCTCTGCTCCAATGGTGTTATGAATTTTGTGACACTGCATGACAGTGCTGTAGGACAAGGTGATGGCTTAGAAATGAAGAGTGGGTTTAGATATTAGGATTTTAGATATTAGGGAGATACTATTAGATATTAAGAAGAAAGTCTTCACTGTGAGGGTGGTGAGGCTCTGGCCAGGTTGGATAGGGCTTGGAGCAACCTGGTCTAGTGGAAGGTGTCCTTGCCCATGGCAGGGGATGGAATGAGATGAGCTTTAAGGTCCCTTCCAATCCTAACCAGCCAGGGATCCTATGGTTTCCTAAAGCTGTAGGTCCTCCTCATCCACCTACAATTGCAGACTTACCCCCATCCCCAGTGTAAAATACCTTAGTCCAGTTTTATTTTACGACCTACTAACACATTGTAGGGATTAAACACTCATTTTAAACGTCTGGAATATTGGGTTTTGCGCATGAGGGGAAGAAAATAATTCTGCAAATGTTCGGAAACCTGATACATTTAAAAACATATTTCAATTAGTGTTGTAACAGCTGCACACTGAGCACTGCTAAGGTATGTTATGTGGTGTCTGAACAAAGAACTTTGCCCAAGCTGTCAGGTTCCCTCAGATCAAAACTGAGGCCTTGATATGGATGTGATAGACTAAATAGCTCTAGCATTGCCTTTTTAGTGCTAACATAAATTAATATGAAAATATGAATTATTTTAATCTGTTCATTTCTAAATTAATTTATAAAATATGGATGATTCCCTGCCAGGCTACATCTGTGTGTGGCACGAATGCCACATGCAAGGGATGAGCAAAGCAGGCAAAGACTGAGGGATGAGCACATCACCCAGGCTTTTGAAGGGTGGGTGGAGACAAGTCTGGATGAGAGCAGTGGAGGTGGCTCACTTCTGTTTCAGGAAAGGAAAAGGGCTGGGAGCTGGATGGAGCACAACTGTGGGGTGAGAATCATAGATAGAATGGTTTGGGCTGGAAGAGAGCCCTAAAAGTCATTTAGTCCCTGCAATGACCAAGGAAACCTTCAACTAGACCAGGCTGCTCAGGGCCCCATCCAATCTGACCTGAAATATTTCCCAGGATGGGACAGAGAAGGGTGCAATGGGCATCAGATGTAGTGCAACATGAAAAAAAACAGGGAATTCGAAGTAATGGAGAAGTGATGGTGAAGAAGTGGAACAAGACAAGGGTTGGGCTTCTTCATGTTAGGGAAAAGTAAGTCAGAGGGAGGGACTGAGATAATGTGGGCAGTTCAGTGAGGAGGACACTAAAAAGGTGCTAAGGAAAAGCAGAAAGTCTGCAAGGAGCAAAAAAGAAACAAAATTAGCAATTATTGAGGTATTAGCAAGGGGACGTCAATGTGTTACTCTGAGGGTAATGAGCAGGACAACTGGGTCAGGGCAGAGGTTCATCCCATTGGGTGTTGGTAGTGCTGGGAAAGCTCCCACCTCACCCGTGAGGGTTTTCCACTGGCAGTGCTGGGGTTTGAGAGCGCTTAGGCTGAGAGTGCTTTGGGATTTTAAGCTAATTTGAGTAAGTGACTTGATCGTGCTTAAATCTCCTGAGCTAAGACTCTGGGATTTCCCCTTCGTGGCTAAACTTGTGCCCTGAATCACAGGTAGCTGACTCCAGCTCTGGATTTGGTGCACCCCTAGGTCAAGGCTGGAGGTTCAAAGCCAAAATACATTTATAGCTCAAAGCCCAGAGTTTTCTTTGAGTTTGACTTTAAACCAACAGGTTAAATTGGCAGAAATGCAGATTTAGGAAACAGTTCACACAAGTAATACTGCTATAATTCAATATATCAAGTTTGAATTTT